CTTCTCTTCCTCTTCTCCTCCTCTCTCCAGTTGGTATACGAGTTCTTCATCCGGTTCTTGGAGAGTCAGGAATTCCAGCCCAGCATTGCCAAAAAGTACATAGACCAGAAGTTTGTCCTACAGGTGAGTGGCTGAGTCAGTCTGCAGCATCTAATATCTCCCGCTGTCAGTCAGAGCTTGAGTTTCCTTCTTTCTCTCCCCTTAACATCTGTCCGTGTTCCTTCATTCCCTCCTTCCGTCCAGCTCTTGGAGTTGTTTGACAGCGAGGATCCTCGGGAGAGAGACTACCTGAAGACAGTCTTGCATAGAATCTACGGCAAATTCCTGGGGCTGAGGGCTTTTATACGAAAACAGATCAATAATATTTTTCTACGGTGAGTACAATGTCAGTCCGATGTTTTCACACACATTACATGTATTGTTGTGTTGTTGTTTAATGCCTTGACACATTTTAGCTAAAGCCCTTTCCCCCCGTTTAGTTTCTTATATTCAGTATGAAACTGGTGACACTTCAAAGCAGCTAGCACAGTCACATCGAGGAGAGGTTCATTGAGACATAGGGCTGGCGAGATATAGAAATACCGTGTTATTGACAAGCCAAAAGCAGGAGATGGCAAAGCACCACCACAACCGCATGTGATGTCACATCATCACATTACATTCAGACGGGAAAGTGTCCCAGAGGCCAAAGAGACTCACCACAGCAGATGTGCTGTCTGAAAGTAGGGCTGCACAATATGGTAAAAACATCATATTGGAATTATTTTGACAGATATTGTGATTGATTCACAATTAGTGGTTTTGCATCACTGCTTTTAATTTTCACTGAAAATCCTTAAAAGGTAGGAGGAGGGACAAGCAGGTACTGAGATGAAACTTTATCCCGTTTTCCTTGTTACTTAAAACTGATGGTGCTGACCCATTATTGCTGCAGAGAAAGGGTGGTTAGACATAGTTGTAGTGTTTGTGTGATATACTCTGGTTCGAGATGGTCTGCATGTTTGAGTCAACCACTGACATATAACAGTTGTAAGTTGACCTTTAAGGATGTACAATATTTCAGTAGGCAAACACACGTTTGCTAAAAATACTGCAAGTAAAAAACTGACTTTCTGGATTAACACGTTTACTTTCTGTCGTTCTGCCAACTTTCAGTTGAATTTTTTGTTTCAGTTGTTTAACCTTTTTCTCCCTCAGTCTCATTTCTGACTCCTGTCTTTTGTCTCCTCTTTCCTCTGCGTCCCTCTCTGTCTGCTCTGCAGTTTTGTTTATGAGACGGAGCACTTCAACGGGGTGGCGGAGTTGCTGGAGATCCTGGGGAGGTATGTGGAGGCCTCCGACCCTTAGACACACATTTACACATTTACATTCAGCTCTGTCAGCCGATGCTTTTAGCCAAGAGCCACATAGACCCGAGAGCACCGGCAGAACTGAGCTCAACGCCTGTTATTGTTAAGCTGTAACCATACGAGGACGTTTTTTTAGCTTTGATTTAATCAGGTACTCTTGTGGAGATGGAGATCTTTTTCGACAGAGACCCGAGAGGAACGCAAAAGATTGATAAGCAAAAAAAAATCTGAAGCTGAGTGATCTGGCAGGATTGTAACAGAGTAGAGATGTTCGGTTCAGGGTAGTCAGGAGCAGAGTTTGACTTGTAGATAAGAAGTAAATTAATCCTCTCAGCTCAACAGTCTTTTTAATCCATTTTAATCCATTAAAAAAAAAAAGACCTGACTTGCATAGACAGTTTATCGGCTTTGCGTCAGGAGTTGCATGGGGTCGTCGACGTGCAGACGGGGGCTGAGGGCGATTTCCTCAGACTGATAACAGTTCTTTGCTTATATTTGTCATAAAAATAAATGAAATATATCTGCATAATCCCCTTATAGCTGCTTCTGAGTGTTTCATACAACGTAGCCAGTCCCAATTTATTGTCACTTTGACAGTTCCTATTTCCCGGGTTATTGAGTTATTTTGGGGACTCGGGTTCACAGACCGGAAAAGATTGAGAATAAAGCTGAAACGATAATTGATAAACAGAAGATTAACCAATGACAGTTCTGATAATTAAATAATGTTAAAAATTAACGATACAAAATTAAAAGCATAAAATACACATTGTTAAAATATGTTAATACCAACAATACTAATATAATAGATAAGACTTGAAGTTAATGCTAGAATAAATAAATGTCTTTTTAAAAAGACATGTTTTAAGAAGTTATTTAAAAGATGTCACCGAATCAGCAAGTCTTCAGGCAGGCTACAAGAAGGCAACATATTTCTTAAAATGTACTTTATTACCATTACTAACATCATACAGCGCTTTCATGTGTACAAGCATTAGTTTTAGACGTTAGCCCTCTCTCTTGGGTAAAGATACTGTTCTGTGTTTAGTCTAGCAATGACACTTGAGCTTATATTTACTTGTATAACAACAACTTCTTCTTTGTATATTAGTCTGCACTCATTTCCATTGAACTCCACACAAATACTGCAATGTCAATCTTTGTTTGAAACTTCCTCATCCACTTTACTTTTCGGTTTGCAAAGGGTCATCTTGTTGTTTGCAGCCAAACAGCAAATAAATCCCAGAACCTGCTCTCTTCTTACTAATCTTTTGCACGTATTTGTAGCGTAGCACCAAACATCCATATTCAGCCTCCCAGGCTCATAACTCTCCACGATCCACTGGTCTGCGTCATGCTTTTCTCTTTTCTTTTCACATTGCAGGTTGAATACCTCTGGGTTTAACCGTTTAGTCATCCAACATAAGTAATTTTGAAGGCATCAGTATTGGCTCTGACAACCTGTAAACCTATGAAATGTTTTTATTTATTTTTTTTTACCTTTTTTTCGACTTAATGTTGTACGGCCTCACAACGCTCGATACTCATCAGCTGAATTTATTCGTACAGTTTGTCCTTCCACAAAAAGCTGTAATGAAAACAATAAGTTGAATTCAGTGAAGGACTGTAGTTCTTTCAGGAGCTGAAGGTTAGAGCAGATCTCTCCCATCAGTTAACGTCTCTTTATTTCTGCTCCGGGCTCAGTCGCTCTTTATAAACAGTCTTCTTTTTTGTCTGCCGCTCATTGATCTTCCACTTGCTTTCAGAGGCTCACAATGAAACTCTTTCATGTATTCATGTTTAATTTATGTTTATATTTTGTCTATTTTTCTCCCCACCCTCTCTCTTTCTCTCTCTCTCTCAGTATAATCAATGGTTTCGCTCTGCCACTGAAAGCGGAGCATAAACAGTTTCTGGTCAAAGTGTTGATCCCCCTCCACACTGTCAGGAGTCTGTCTCTCTTCCACGCACAGGTAATACATATGTGTTTGTGTAAAGTTTCCTCCTGCTAACAATCCTAGTCTGTCTCCTGCACGGTATGTTTTATATTAGTGTATAATCACCTGGATGTAAGATTGTGTTGCCTTAGAATTAGATTTTTTTTAATCTATAGAGGGTGTCAGTCATCTTCTGGCGGAGTCCGCAATGTAAAATGATTTCTTAAAAACAGGGAAACCTGCAGCTGTAGTTTCTCCTACACGCCTGGAACAGGAGGGTGAGGCGAAGGCGTTCCAGTCAGCAGCTACATCGCTAGATGCCACTAAATCCTAAACACTGGCCCATTAATATTTAGATTTGAAGAGAAATGACACCTGTGAACTTCCTGCAGTTCCAAAGTTATGTATACAGAATGCTAGTGATCATTAACAGTGATGTAAAACTTTAAACCTGCAGACTTTTGAAGTCAAGCAGAGACTGTAAGAATTAAGGTGCTTGGTGCTGAAGTGCTGCTATATTTACTGCACATTGATTTAGTATTAAAGTTCAGCAGCCTGATGGAGGTTGGTGTGAACAATTGCTTCAGTCGGTTTGATTTGAGTCTTTTCATCCTGATAGCAGAGGTTTATGTTCAGAGGAGAGGGGATGTTGAGGGTCGCTACAGAGCAATGCCACCAGAAGCTGGTAAACTGTTGGTATCGGATTGGTGATGAGACCTTTTCCGGTATAAACACTGGTCCCCATGAGGACAACAGGTCCCGTCAAGGTCAAACACCGGTCCTTATGAGGAACAAAGTCCATTCTGAGGTCCTGGTTAAGAAGAACTGAAAAACTTTAAAACTGTTGAAATGAGACTTTCAAAAGTCCAATTTAAAAAGTAAAAGAAAAAACAAACCTGTGGCATTTGAGTTGAGTCAGGTGCAGGAATCAGTGTTTAGTTTCATGTTTAAGTTTTACTTTCTTCTTATTAACAATGCATTTAAAGTTCCAGATTTGGTGTATGAGTTGCTGTTGTATGCTAAACTAAAGTGCTAACGTGTGTTCAAACGTGTGGTCTCTTCTCTCCCTGCAGTTGGCGTATTGCATTGTACAGTTCCTAGAGAAAGACCCAACATTAACAGAACCAGTAAGTATCAACTCATATTATACTTCACAGTGTGATACTCTAATGAATGAATCACAAAAGTCACCCTTCAGCAGCCAGAGATTTTTATTTTAACTTTATTTTTATTATTTTTTGACAAACAAACAACAGACAAGGTCATCGTAGGTAAATGTTTGACGATGTATAGAAAGGAAATAAAAGAGAGGCTGGGTTCCATTGACAGTGTTACTGTGTGGGACCTTTTATATCCACGATCTTAAGTCCTTATGATCCGTGGCTTTAGCCGAGGTGCTTTTAAAGGGGAGGAAGGTCTTTTACTCATTCAACCACAGTCCACTCTGTCGGCCTTTACTACAGAAGGAAATACAACAAAGTTCTCCACACAAATATAAAGAAACACAATCATTTAAGATTCAAATACGATTTCCAGTTCCAGTATTTTTCACATTTTTTGGTGGCGTGTCTCAAGGAAAATAGTCCAAAACATACATTTGTTAACTCTTTCTATCCATTTAAGGACTGTTGGAGACTCACTCAGCCACTTCCTGCTGCTAATATTTGTAATAAATATCTGTCCTGCTTTGCTGCCCAGTTGGTTAATTTCCCAAAACACTAAAATTAAAATCAGTGATGATCGATCTGATCTGTTACCACATCGAACCAGTAAGAAGAAATATTAGGACACGCCCAAAAAACATGAAAATGAGCAGCAGACATATTCACACACATTCTCCCACACCGACCATGTTCAGGTTTGTTTGGACCTTTTTCCCTCCACAGGTCTGAGCCTGAGGTCGGCTGTTTAACCATCTTCAGTTCACTTTGTTAGCTTCTTTTTTCCTCTTTGCTACAGCTGATAGTTGAGCTGAAACGGTGCCGACAGCGCCTCACTGAGGTGAAATGAGGCGTTTAATGGAATGAAATTACAGAACCATCAAAGCAGTGGAGATTTCTGTTCGTGTGAGTGTGAGAGTGAAATGGAGGAAAACAAAAAAAACTCAGTCTGTGTCTCTTCTCCCTCCTCAGGTCATCAGAGGCTTACTGAAGTTCTGGCCAAAAACCTGCAGTCAAAAAGAGGTGAGGCTCTTTTCCTTTGAACTGTAAGTGTGTGTGTAACTGTGTGTGTGTGTGTGTAACTCTGTGTCTGTGTGTGTGTAGTAACACTTTCCCGCTGTGCTGCGGTTCAGGTGATGTTTCTAGGAGAGCTGGAGGAAATCCTGGACGTTATTGAACCAACACAGTTCGTCAAGATCCAGGAGCCGCTCTTCAAACAGATCTCCAGATGTGTCTCCAGCCCACATTTCCAGGTCAGTGACCATCCTGATCCGGATTTAAAGATTCAGTATCAGTGTGATTTTACCTGAGAGAGATATTTGGTTGCTGTTGTCACTGCACACATAGACGCTCAGTTTGCGTTGTCCTCTCCCGTGTTCACAGGTTGCAGAGCGAGCTCTGTACTACTGGAACAACGAACGAGTACATCATGAGTCTGATCGAGGAGAACTCCAGCGTCATCCTGCCCATCATGTTCGCCAGCCTCTACAGGATCTCCAAAGAGCACTGGAACCCGTGAGTGAATACAGGCATTTAATAAGAAATACAGTATTGTTTTCGGTTTCAGATGATTTTCACCCTTATTTTATGTTCCCACACTAAGTCATGTGGTGTCTTTGGGTTTTGCTGATCAGCAGCTCCCCTCAGTTTTTTCTCTTCACTGTGTTTTACCTAAAAGTACGTACTAAGCTGTCTTCGCCACGAGGACTGTTTACTGTAAACAGCAGAGAACGAAGACTCTTAATGCGGAAAACAAAACTGTGGGGCATGAGAAAAATAACTCCAGGTGAAAATTGTTTTAAAAAGAAACTACTCAACAC